ATCACCCGTGAAATTCTGAATCCAACGGCACCCCATTCGCGGTAATTGAGCATGACAAAAGCTTATATTTGCTACAAAACCGATTTTGAGCATTACTGTAATAATATATGAGGGGATTAAGTCAAAAACTGAGTTGATAGTACCTTTAATACGCTAGTACAAAAATAAATAAATAATAAAAAGTAAGGGTAGTCACTCTAAATTAGACGTTTTCGTGTGTTAAATCCTCAATAAATTCTGGAGTGGCGGGTTGGGGCAAGATCTGAAAATTATTTAGAAGTTCAAACCTTTGTTAACAATATTTTCTATCTACTTTTTCGAACCAAAATTACTTGCGATTGTTTCAAGCGTCCTAACAACTATATTTAAAAAAAAAAAAAACGATGTTTCAACTGTCTTAGAATTCACTAGAAGTACCATATTCTGTCCAGGACATACCGGTAGGTTTGAACCAAAAATAGCGGCAAACCAGCTCTGAATACAAAAAAAAAGATGGTTTTCATTTCTTCTCTTATTATCTTAAATAAGGAAATTTTTGATGCGATAATTAAGTTAAAAACTGCGATTAAAAAAAAAAAGATATTAGTTTCTCACTTATGCAGTCAAATTTCCAAATTTTAACTTCAGTTTTTTCTCCAAATGTCTAACAGCACCGTTAGCACCCAGTGAGCGCCGGTTCGATTTCGCCATGGTTGAAGGTTGAATTATATTTGTACTGGACTGATAAATTACCCATCCAAATGTTGGTTAGATGTAAGATAATCACGCCAACAATTGATTGTATTGCATTTTCATAAAGAGTTTACCAATAGCTACGGAAGGGTGTAGTTCGTTTCTGTTAACTTAGTACTTTAATTATTAGGTCAATATATTCGGCAAAGTGAAATTAAACGTATCTTCTTTTAAATTATCTATACGTTAGGGTGTTGACTTGAAACAGGAATAGTACCAGTGCAAGTACGGAAAATTATCAATAGCTAACTCATTATTGTCGTAGTATTAAATGATAATTTAACAATACTAAATTAAAAATGAATTGTAATTAAACTAATTAAAATATTCAACAAATAATGAATCTCTGACACTTCTGACAATAATAATGGAAATTCGCAGCACCAACATTGAACCTAAAAATATCAAAGAAACAGTAAAAAAACAACAAAAAAACACTTTAATGGAAAATACTAAATCGAAGCTTAGATATGTAAAAAACAAAAACGGTGAACCTGAGAAGATTAATTAAGAGCAAAGAGGCAGAAAAACTAGTATAGTAATAATTAATGCACCTGAAAAATAAGATACCAACTTAGAAAATGTAGTTGATGTGAATTCAGTATTATCAGTTACGGACATATGTCTATCTGATAGTACAATTAACAACTGCTACTGACGGAAACATTAGATACAACAAACCCTATTTATCTTAACAGTTATTTAATGAAGCAAAAAATAATGCAAAAAAAAAGAAGAGATTTATTCAGATAAAAAACATTCCTATAGCACATAACAAATCACCTGAGGAAAGACAGGAAGGAAAACAACTATATGTATATTTTAACAGATTGCGAAACTTCATCAGTATTGACGCTTACAAAAACATTTTTTTTTTTCAAAATGGAAGGGAACACTTTTCACATTTTTGAGATCGGAGCTCTTTGGGAAACTCTTGATGAATGAGGGTAAATGATCATAAGTTCGAACATGAATTCATGTAATTAAAAGAAAAAAATTAGATCAGTATCAATTTTGGGAAAGAAAATACTCGAATTAAAACTAAGACAGAAAAATTAGTCTTGAGGACTGATATATTATTATTTATTAACCAAACAAAAAATGTGGAACATTAGATTAAATTTGCAATCTGCAAATTTCTTTGCAATAAGCAAATTTTTTAGCAGCTTCACAGCTTCCCATCACGTCCGGGATATAAATCAGATCAGCAGGTCTCTTGGCCAACGCCTACCTAATCGTCGCAGTGGGCTGTACGGGTTTCTTGTACTATGAAGGATTTCTGTCAGAGGATTCATGTTGTACGTCAGTCTTTGGTGAAAGTTATTGCAGTATTTAAAATTGTAGGTACGTTTAAGTCTTTATGTAGTTTATCATTTGCGACATAGAAAGGTGCGTCAACTACCCTTCGCAACACTTTTGACTGAAAGGACTGAACTTTTTTAATGTTGGAAGTTTTAGCAGAGCCCCACAGTTCTATGCCGTAAGTCCAAATAGGTTTAAGTAAGACTTTATAAAGGGTTAGTTTGTTAGTTAAAGATAATTTTGAACGTCTGTCAAGTAATCTGGATAAGAGACCGTATCGTTTGTTTAATTCTATTCGTTTTTGTCTGATGTGAGTCTTCCAAGTAAGTCTTTTGTCCAGGTAAAAACCTAAATACCTAATTACATCTGATATTGGGATTTGAATGTTATTAAAATATATTTTAGGGGAAGGTTTATGGTTAAGAGTGAATACTACATGCACACTTTTTTTTTTTTTACTTAGGACTGATATCAAAGTTTAAATTTATTATTTGAAATGCATGTGTGCACTAGCGGATCCAGGATTTAATTTGAAGATAATTTAATTTGGAAAAAAAGAAAGAAACTAACTATCTATATGAAATGGTGTTTAAGTGATTTCTTTAGTCCTTTTAAATGAAATTACACAAACAATAATACTTTAAGAGATCATTTTTTTAAATTTTTTTGCATAAAACTTGGTTGTATTTTACCATTTGGAGGGGGGGGGGGAGCAACTTCAGCTCGAAAGCCCCCTCCCCCTGTAAATTCGCCCGTGCATGTGTATATTTAATTGGTTCTTTGATTTGTTAAGTTTCTTTTTGTTTAGTTAGCTTCGTTTAGTTTAGTTTAGCTTCTTTTAGTATTATCACATTATACTATATTTTCGTAGTCTTTATGCTATTTATATGTATCCTTAATATTGTGGAAATTATTTATTATTAATAATAGGCTTTTTATTGTATCAAAATGTGATGTTTTTATTAATTAATTAAAATTATTTTTTAAGAATTAATCTTTTCTTTTCATAGTAGTGTTTATGTTAATCATCTAGTATACCACTTCACTCCATTTTTCTATTATTCTATTATAATAGTCACTAAGGTCTTTAATTGAAGAAATTAGCTCATAAATAATATATTTGATAATACAATCATGATTACCAGATCAAGTATTGTTTTTCTATCTTATAATTTTTGCATTGAAGACAGAACATCGTCTACTACTTTTGTATCTCGCTAATGACGTTATCCAGTAACCAGTATCCAGTTATCCAGTACTACTTTTAGTAGTATTATTTTGCTGTTCATTTATTTTTATTTATTGTATATTTTGAATGAGCTACTCTTATAACACTATTACTATTGCCCTTAGATGTGACAGATTGTAATATATCTCAATAAAGAATTTTCGATAACAAAAAATAAAAATTTGAGAAATGAAAAAAATGTTGTAATATATAATCTACTCCCTCCGCAATTAGACAAAGAGGGGTCATATTGGGCCTCAATACTTCTAACTTATAGCTATAGCTAAGCCATTGAATATATGACAACCAGAGCACATATGATTATGACAATTTGTAATTCATTACAAATGAAATGCCAATTTTCCTTTGTGATGATGAAGGTTGATTTTATGTACTATTAGCTCTACCCGGCCACTCGCTGCTTAGCCTGGCAAAATGAAAAATAAAGAAAATAGAAAGCACGTATGAGTAGATTAATAGCAAAGGACATCTGTCATTTTTAAAAAGTTGGGAAACAAATTTGTCTGTAAAATGGCTTCAATTTAAACTAATTCTAGTGATTTTTTTTTCTCATGATTCAAATTGAACATTCTTAATCATCTGAGTGAATATGCCGTCATTCATAATCATCAGAAACAATCTGAGTTGAACTTATAAAACTAAAATAAAAAATTAATGTAAAGAACGTATAATAGTATTGACCTACATAAGGAGAATCATATAACTTCTTCAAATGATGATTTCAATTATTGTAGTAATTATAAAATTTTCGATCAATCAATAAAAAAAAAAATTAAAAAAATGCTTGCCTACCTTCTGAAGGGAAAGCAGTAAATGTTTAAAACTCTGCAACAAACCGTCCGATTTCGATGATTTGTATTTTATTTTGTCGGCAAATCAGAAATTTTTCAAATAAATATGGGTATTATCGATCAAAAATTGTGTACTTTTTTAGTTATCGTCAAATAAAATATTGAATTCATCGTAACATTTTTCAGCTTGTTTTCGGAAAAGTATGTTATACTTATAAATAAAAAGGGTTTCAAGGGAAAGAGTTTAGCCAAGTTTCGTTAAAATCGGTAAAGCTGTTTTGGTGGCACAGCTTATATACAGACAGATTTATACAGACACATTTTTTTGCGGCTTTGAACAGAAAAACATTTACATTTTTTTTTTTTTTTAAATATATAAAATTATCGTAAGACAGAAGTACTATGCCAGAAACCTTCCCAGGAGTGTACGGAACAACTTCCCAAAGTTTCATGGCGATTGGATGAATGGTTTAGTAATACAACGAGGACAAACAGACGGACAGACAGAAATACATTCATTTTTATATGTATAGATTTAAAATTTTCACAAGAATTTTTCACCAAGGTTAGTTTTTCCAAATACCTGAAGAAAAATGTTTAAGGGTACCCTGATTACTGTTTTACTCAAACGTTTGAAGTTTTCGATGGAACGTTCGCGGTGCATTCTATATTGTAGAGAAATAAGAAGTAGTATAAAAATTGAAAGCACTTTAGGAATATCTAACTCATTTATTTCTTTGATTTTTTTTTATACTTCTCTTTAAAAAAAAAAATCAATTTTGACAATTATGTAATTTTTTGCTGATTTCAGTAATTTTGTTTTGTATATTGATTACATTTACGATTATTAGCAGTATACTTATAATTTAAAAAGAGCTTGTATTAGCAACTTATGCTCTAAATGTAGTATTGAAGACAATACTCACTGTGGCCTTGCGCGGGGCTGGGCGGTGTCAGGGACTGCTGCCTCTGGTACACCGAAGGGCTAGGCTCGGTACCACTGTCTTCACTTCCTCTAGCGCTCACCACCTGCAAGATAATAATTATATATATTATTTTAAAAAGGAGTGTTTAAAATAAATAAAAAGCAGACTTAATTTACTCGACAGTAAGTCATAAATTACCTGAAAATGTAGTGTAAATGTTTAATCGCTTCTATTTTAGTATATACCTTGAGAGGATTACAAATAAAGACCGTCATGTCATATAAAGTTGAAGTTAATTACATATTCATAAGCCTGATATGTAATGTGATTTGCATTTGAAGTAAATATGTATGCAGGACTGTAACTATGATTTTTGCTGGAAGAGACAAGATTAATTGTTTCTTTGTTTTGATGTCTAGACGCAAAACATCCAGGTCATAAACGCCCGGTCAACTAAATAACATCACTTAATACTATTTGGATGGTTGGTACAAAAAATAAAAATGAAAAAAGGATAAAAAAAAAAAAAGAAATAGATTGATAGAATAAAATAAGGATAATAATAGAAATTTATAGATAATACGATAGAATAGATAAATAAATAAACTTTAAAAAATAGCACTAAAATCAATAAATGAATTGAAATTAATAAACAAATGAACTTTTAAAATAAAAAAATAATAATAAATCTGTAAAGGATCATTAGTTGTAAACTTGGCATATGTGTTTTTTAAGTCTTTCACTATTCAGGCACTTAATAACTTTGGTAACGATTTATTCTTGATTCGCCAGGGATGCTGATATATTCTGGGGTATTCCGAGATCTTTTAATGTTGCGGTGTAAAAAGGGGACTCTTCCAAAATATGTTTTATAGTTAATGACTGGTCACACTTTTGACATCTGGGGATAAGATCTTTTGTTATGAGGTGGAGGTGTGTCAGTCTAGTAGACAAGATTAATTGTTTCGCCTCTTCTATCATTTCTGTTCCCTCCTCCTCAATAGATACAACAGCAGTTTTTTTTTTTTCAAAGTTGAGTCGGTTCCGAGAAAATTGTCAAAAAGGTTAAAATCAGTAATATAAAGTGGTATATCCAGGAGTTTAATGTTTTAAAATTTAATGCAAGGATCTCAGAGTGTGGTTTAAATTCCTAACTGTGCCAGTTAATATTTATAATAATAAATCTTGACACTCCTAGTCTGATCAGCAGGATGGAAGCTTCGACAACCAGTAACTAAATGGCCGACAGCTGTTGAAAAAAAGAGCAAGTACAGAAGAATGACAAACGAATCATTAAATGTGATTCCGTGTATTTTCAATCGTTAGATTTCCAAGGTGTACTGAATAAAACTAGGAAAATTTAAGGGCCGATTCTACATTTCGATTATGCAAAAATTAATTCTCTACAAACTATTATAATTTTTTTTAAACATATTTGTCGACAATTATTCTTAATTCTTGACTTTTTCACATTAAAATCCCTAGAATTTTTCATCAGTTAAGAGAATCAGACATGTTTGCACGAAATAATTTGTTCAGATATGAATAAAAGTTAATATTGGTAGTTTATGTTTGAATTTACAGAGCGAATACATGCTACAGAAAAGATTCGTCAGACAAACCAGAACATGTTTTGATGATTAGTTCTTCCAGTTAATGGTAACTTGCGGGTACCAGTGTGTGAAATGAGCCAATTTTCACTACACAAGTTCCTGTAAGCATAAGTAAAGACTAATTCTAAGTTAGAGGGAGGAGGGGTTGAATGACCCTCCCCGGATCCACATAGAATAGAATAGAAGAATCAAGTCCCTCAAGGGTAACAATAGTGTACATAAAATTAACATAATATCTGGCCAAAATGCATATTACAATAAAAGAACAACTAAAACATAATACTAAATGAAATTTGAAATGAACGATAAATTACTTTTGTTGTCATACCATTGTATTAATGAAAAAAATAACAATAAAAGAATAGATAAATATTCACTATAAATGATTTACTTCTGAACCTTAATATGTTCAAATGAATACAATAATTAAAATCAGTTATGTGCAAGGATCCCAGAGTGTGTTTTAAATTCCTAACTGGGCCAGTTAATTTTCATAATAATAAATCTTGACACTCCAAGTAGTCTGGTTAGCAGGGTCCACCAAATGGCCGACAGCAGAGGGGAGCAATTTAAATTGTATTTGTGTTCTTCGAAATAATGGGGGGGGGAGGCGAAAAGACTTTCTCGCCCCTCTTTATTTTTATTGGAGGGGAGGCATTGCCTCTTCCTTCCCTCCATCAGTCTATCAACTGCCTCATATAGTGCCACATGCCATGCCCTAATGAAGACCTGCAAGGTGGGTCGAAACGTAGGCGTAATAATTGAAAATACTATTTTTAAAAATTAGTATTTATTTGACCACACTTTCTCCCTCCTCTCCCTACCCCGATCAACTCCTCAGGATACAATAATAGTATAGTAAACATTATTTATAAAGTCACAAAAATGTATAAAGTCCACATAAACGGGGGTACATAATTTTCGGGAGTTTATATTATGTACAAGAAATATATTGTTTTTTACGCGTGTGGGTATACTTGAAAATATGTTAAAAAATAATTTGAATGGACATTATATATTTTTATTTAAAGATTTGAGACGGTGAGATCAACTCTCAATAGTTTTGTTTCTTATATATGTTGTAAGATCTTCGATACATTTTAAAGTCTAGCTGAGTATTCCTCAGTTGTGTTTAATCTTTATTTTGCTTTCTCACTACCGAAGCAATCATAAAGCATTGTATTCGTGTGAGAGGTTAAAAAAAATTCAGTATTCAGAATCGAAAATTTCCACTCGGGTTTTACGTTTCGGACATCAAGGATCAAATTTACTTCGGCGTCTATCAGTCTGTAGTTAAATTGATGTGACTACTACTACCTTTCATCGTATTTTCGTGAAATTTTCAGCGATTGTGCAGGTTGGTGTCTTGATGTGCCCATATCAATTTTATCTTATCAAACTTACCACTTCCTCTTGTGCAGACGTAAATGTATTTTCGTAGATATTCCAATATTTCAGAAACGGCTCATTCTATTTGGCTCAAAGTTAGTTAAAATTTATTGGTATTGATGAAAAAATAATGTAGTGTAAATTTTATTGAATTCGGTCCACTACTTTCTCTTATATATATACGCAAACGTGATTTCCTTGATACGTCTATATCTCTGAAACCGCATGTTCGATTTGGATCCAATTTGGAATGAAGTTAGGAATTGGTAAACAGATAATAAAATATTTATGAATTTTATCAAAGTCTAACCAGCACTCCAAAAAAACATATTTCCTCTTTCAGATCAGGAAATGTATTATTTGATACGCCTATAGTTTGAAACTAAGCGTACAATTTGACCCGAACATGGAGGAAATTTGAAGGATAGTATAGAAATTACCTAGTATCAATTTCATTTAATTCCATTTACTAATTAAAGTTAATAGTTAACGATATAATAGCTCTGAAATCTGGAAGACATTATTCAGATTTCTTACAATTTTCAGTCAATTTAAATAAAATTTTAATCTGACTTTTTTTTTTTACAAGTCTTATTTGTGATTGTATTTATTTCTATAGAAGTTCAATCAGCTCGTCGTGGTCTCGATTTCCTTCTTAAATATCAAAGTTGTGTGAACTTCACGCATATTCTTATATTTCAGCTTAATTAGTTTTGTTCTGATTGAAGAATAGTAATGTTCTCGTTAACTCCGAACAAATAAAAAGTTGAATTTTTCCTATGGATTTTTTTTCCATCCATTTTAAGAGTGAAAACATACCTAATAAGTATATATCACTATTGTTAGTGCAAATAGCCGTAAGTAAAAATTTTCAACTTTTCTTCTATTTGTGCTAAAGGTGACATTTTGTAGTTTGCAATTGATATAAGCAGTTTACGATAGAAAATAGTAGAGAGAAATAAAATATGAAATTACACTAATAAATCATAAGGAAACATTTAGTTTTTATGCCCTCCTGTAAAACAGTGGTGGTATGCATGTTCACTATGCACTTGTTTTAATCATGATTCATAAAATATACAATCTGCATATTTATTCTCCTACGAAAAAAATTTAGACCTTGTATTACAGATATTTTTTAGGCAATGAAAACGGTAAGGAAGCTATACTGACCTTACACGGGTTTTTTACTTTTAATCGGGGTGATGTGGCTCACCTCTATCTTGATAATTTTCTTCTAAGAACAACTTAAAATCTTGCATTTAAACATAATATAACGTTTGACACGGTTTTATTATAACCTTTTTTTTTTTTCCTACCTCTCAGGAATTTCTTTATTACAAAATACAATATATTAATGTTATGTATACATATTTTTTTTATTTCCTTTTATTGCCCAAGGGCATTTTAAGGTAAAAAGGCTATGCAGGCTGTATGCGTTCTTTGCATCTGTGGCCAGAGGCCTTTTATTATACCACTGGGCGTAGAGGGACCGAACTGCATTAATTTATTATAACCTTAATAATTACACGAAATTATTATAACCTCACACACACAAACCATTTTGCGAGAGTTGGTCGTTCGAATATGGGAGACCTTAAAACAAGTATTTCCACTTAAAACTTGGATTCCATTTTTTTTTTTCCATTACAATCGCAAACCTTTCCCTTTGATAAAAAGATAAGTGAAAGTAAAATATATTGTATCAATAATCATTACAGATACTGATAAGCCATAGTTCCTCTAAAACCGAGTGTGAGCAGTAGAAATCGTAAATAAATTCAGAAGATGGGTGGAAGGGGAAAGAATCATGAGCAATAATTTATATTATTAATATAATAAAAAGAAGAATAGTTGGGGTGGTCAGTCAAAAAAGAAGGCAAAAATAAATGATAATATTAATTTTTACATATGCCGATGTTTCGACCTAAAGTTCAGGCCTTCATCAGGGCTAAGAAAATAACCAGATAACAATGTATGAGAAACATAAGTAGTGATGGTAAAAAAAAAAATAAAGAAAAAAATAAAGAAATAAATAAAGTAAAATGAAATGGTTAGTATAATGACAATAGTAAGAACTAAGAGATAAATAATAATAACCGTTAAAAAGTGTGGAATGATGAAGTAAGAATAATCAAAAAGGGTGACATAAGTGTTAAAATGGGAATCTTAGAATAAAATGTAAAACATAAAAAAGAAATATGAAGCTATATAAGAAATAAAAATAAATAGTAAAATTAAGACATTGAAAATGGAGTAGTTAGATAGAAAATTGAGATATTTTAAAGTCTATCAACATGTACAGACAATGAATTTTCTATGAAATTGATGGAAATCTCATTTTACTTTATTTTTTTTTTATTTTTTTTTTTTTACCATCACTACTTATGTTTCTCATACCTTGTTATCTGGTTATTTTCTTAGCCCTGATGAAGGCCTGTACTTCAGGTCGAAACGTCAGCATATGTAAAAATAAATATTATCATTTATTTTTGCCTTCTTTTTTGACTGACCACCCCAACTATTCTTCTCTTCACTATCCACGAGAGTCAACCATTTACCAATTATATTAATATAATAAATTATAGTTTTTAATCGTACAATTTCTGGGTATATAATATTCAACTGGGATACTGGGTAAATAATATTCAATCGGGATTACTGAAAATACTATCTAATATAAAATATACCTAAACTTGGCAACGATAAATAAAGAATTCTGGGGAGCACTTCCTGTGCAGCCTCCATAAAAATGCCAGAGCGGTTAAACAATTTATTTATTTTTCCTTTCGCTGTGAACCGACTGTCACGCAGTGGAGGACAGTCGTGGAACTGTTGTCCTTACCCCCTCAGCAGTCCAATTATTTACCCCAACGTCGAATTGGCAGAGGTTCACGATCTTGTCCCTTGGGCAATTCCGAATTGCAGCGAGCATGGATAAGGGAACAACGAGCTGGATCGGATTGGTGGCAATAATGAAGTCCAGAGTCTATAAAATGAGCGTTTTTGACGGAGCTAATTTCTAAGTAAGCTGTTATGAATTTCGACCTCATTTATCGATAAAAAAAAACCCACGATTGGTGCATTAAATTGAGACGACATCCGTACTTATCAAAAATAATCACACTAAGTACACACTGTTCTGATTTCTCAGAGAATAAAAATCAAATATCTTATTGATGCCAAGTTATGCAATGTTACCTCATGACTTTTTGCGATATAATCTGTTAAGCCGTGGCATCTAGTGTTGCCCAAATGCGAGACCGAGACGAGTCTTGGTATTGTAAACGCAGTCTTGGTCATGGTCTTGGTCTTGCGCAAGAGTAGCGTAACAGTCTTGCAGTTACTTATTAGCTTATTACTATAGAGATATTACTGTAATTTTTTAGATAGGAGAAACCTAACTAAGCCCGAATGAAAAATTAGAGGGGTTAAATGCAGAAGTATATTGGTTATAGCAATTATTAACATATAAGAACTAAGATAGTCAAATATTAGTAATTATTTTTATTTAAAAAATCGATTTTTTTTACCAGTCCTGGTCTTGGTCTTGCAAACAGTTACGCGGTCCAAGACCGATTTTGGGCAACACTAATACCATCGTTTAGCCCAGTTTAGAGAGAGATCCGATGCGATTGATGAGCTCAGCTCTGGGTTTAGGAAATCGTATATAGACAAAGCACTTGCTGAAGACATTCATATCAAGCTTTTGTTTTAAAAAAATAACATTTTTTTTTGTTTTATTGATTATTAATACAGTCTGCCACACTGAAGAACATTGGTACTAGGTCTATAATATTCATTCACACAATATGTACATAAGAAAGGAAAAAACCAAAAATATATATATATATATATATATATATATATATATATATATATAAATTTTAAAAAAATAACATTAAGTTAAAAATAGTAGAGTGGCTTAAGTACTGAAACCCGGGTCAAAATAAGATTAGATTGCTCCAACATATTGGAGAGACAAGAAGGGATTAAGTAGTGCAAAAGTTTTTGCATTATTAAAATTTTATAAAATTATGTTTTGATTAAATTCAATACAATAAACAGAAAATGAATACGTAATGATGATTAACAAGTTATAAATATTAGTAAGTATTTTAAAATAAAATTTACTTTATACACCAGCGAAACTGATTGATTTTCAAATAAGCACAGTATAACAATCAAAATATTGTAGTAATAGCAATATATTAGGCCATTTGTATAAATAGTTAAAGTCATGAATTTTCGGTTTATGCGTTTGAATATTTAAATATTTTATAAATTAATGTAAAACCATTATAGATATTTCGTCCAACTCGATTGACTCAAATTAAGAATTAACTGAATCCATTAGGCTAGGAACCATTAGAAAGTTCGAAAAAGATTTGTTCAATACATACCTCACTTTCTAGCAAGACATTTATCGACATAGATTTACCGGTATTTGCCTTAAAACGACTAAGTTTTTATTTATTAACTTTTTATGACATATTTATTGTTTTTTTAAGAGGGATTGACATGCATTATTATGATTTACTTTGAAATATCGATCAGTAAAATATGGACGGATAATGAGGAAGTATGTAGGTGGTAGGAATTTACGGAGTTTTTTCGGGTGCCAGACTCTATCAAACGCCTGTTCAACGTTGAGAAAGATTCCCATACAGTACATTTTGCGATCCACTGCAGAGGAGACTATGTCTAGCACACGATGACATTGCTGGATTGTGAAATGGGAAGTGTGGGATCCAAATTGGTGACCAGAATCAGGTGTTATTAGAATCTAAGATAGGGTACATGCGTTTCGTTATGAGTTCTAAATTGGCAGGAATTTTTTCAATGCTATCCATCATTATTAAATTTATGAAACATAAGTGGGTAATATGTACCTATATATGCTTTTACATATCAATTGGGGGAAAAAAATGAAAATTGGAATTTATGGTCATATTTATTTTTCGAAACTAATTTCTATTCTCTCAACAAGCTTTTATGATTTCAATAATAAATAACTTGAGAACCAAATGGCAAAAGAAAAAAAAAATAAACTAGACATATTTTAATAAAATAAATATTAAAAAACTCGAATGTATTCAGGATGATGTATATGGAGGGAGTTAGGATATGGTGATAAATTATTTTTTCATAGATATAAGTATTCTAAAAAAAATTAAATGTGTTTTAATATTTTTCAATTCTTTTACGAAATTATAATCAAATTTCACTCACTCAATAGGTATTGGATCATCAAGTATTCATTGGTATCATGTGTACAGAATAAATTACATAAAAGAAATAATAAATAAAAAATTTAAAAAATATAATAATAAAAGTAAGCAAAATTAAATGTGTACAACAAAAATGAAAAAAATATAAACAAGAAGTAATGTTATATAGAACTTTAAATATATATATCAATGTTTTTATATCATACATAAGTAAATACATGAGAAAATATTCGAGAAAGGTCTGCGGCCGGAGACTAGCCATTTCATAAAAGGTAACTTGCCAGGATCGAGAATGATAATATTATCCTTTGAACTTGACCAATTGATCCTGAATTCGTTAGTCCTTGCTAATTATTTCTTAGCACCCGCGCAGTGTTTCTTGTTAATGCTATTGCACAATTGTTATATAACAGTCACTATTCTCTGCAAACTTTAATTTCTTACTTCGGTAATATTAATATAGTAGTATTAATTTGGAAAAAGATGTACTTGCGATACTTATTCAATGCTACATACATTAACGGAATGTCGAAGCTTCAGTCTATTTCTAGCCTACAGCATTCCGCTGGTACTTATAAAACCTGAATCTTCTTCATGTCCAACATTAGAAAGCTAAACTTCTTTAAAGAATGGATTCAGTTCTTTGCATTGATCTTCAGTTTGAGTAAATTGAATCTGGAATATTCTTGATGTGTAATGATTAATAAATTGCGAAATACAAATTATTATTACATAATGCTCTCTCCCCCATTGGCTTTTTTTTTTTAAAATTAACGAAGATGCATTATTTAATATTTTACTCCTGACACAGAACTTCTTGCTACGTTATTAATCAATTTAATGTCTGGTAGAGGACATATTGACACATCGCAATTTTTATGGATATTATACTTTTTTTTTGTTTTATATTTTACCCAGGCGATCACCAGGAGTGCCTAGAAAGAGGTTTCATGGCGTTTAAGGAAGGGGGAGGGGAGCATATTTTAAACTGTTTTTGAAATTTTGAGGGAAGCATATTTCAAAGGAGTTAAGCATTTTTGCAATGAAACGTCTCTGAATAACGGACAAGGAGAAATATAGTCACCCCATCAACGCGACGGCCGTATGTTTAAACTATATTTATATATAAAAAGTATTTCATACATTAAAAGATTAATAATACTGAAAAGATTAATGAATAGCTGCGTAAGATTTGTTATTGGTGCCCCGAGGTACTCCCATGTCTCTCACCACTACACTGAGTTAAGGTGGCTCTTCCCCTCCTTCCGAAGACAATACTTTCTAGGTACGTTCCCCTACCAAATCATCAATAACCATCGTCCTTCTTACGCCTACAACCTTCTCCAGTTCAAATCCTCAGTCCATTCCCTGTCCACAAGATCTCGACCTTCTGACCTTTACATGCCTTCTCACAGATCTGTCTCATTCCAAAATTCCTTTATTGTTCGCTCTGTCAATTTCTGGAATTCCCTCCCTATCAAAATTCGACATTCCCCCTCCATATCCACATTCAAACCCCTCCTATTCCAATTCCTATCACAAAAACAGTCAGATACTTGCTAACCATTCGAGCGGATTTTAATAGAGAATTTGATATATTTTTATTTTTTAATTCTTTATTTTTTTCGGAAAAGTGTATACTGGTCTATAAGAGCAAATAGCTTTAAGTTTCTTGTCATAGTATTAATGGTTTTGTATATAGTTTAGTTTGTTTTTTATATATAGAATTTTTACCTTATATTTTTTTTACATTATTTATTTTTTTCGATTTATTTTATTTTGGCCAGATGTAATATTTTAATTTTGTTCTATTTTGTTATTCTCAAGGGACTGTGTCCCAGAATAAAGTTATTTTTCTATCTATCTATTCTATCTATCTAAAAAAAAATTGGAATTAATAAACGTGAAAAGAACAAGTATACTTGATATTATAGACTTGCGTTTCTTACTTTAATCACTATATTGCTGGTTATTAAAATAATACAGTGTTCTAAGTCCTCATGATTTCTTCTTTCTTAAAAAAAAAATAAAAATATTGCAATAACAGTAGGCATTCGAGGGTAGCCTCTGTTCTTGTGCTTCTGTATCGCAGACTGCACAAGACCTGGTCTGTTCATAAAATGAAGGCCGAAGAATGGTGGTGAGGGCTGATCCTTGAACATATGAAATTAAATTTAAATCTGGACTATTTATAACGTTGAAGGGCATAAATACAATATATATTGCAGAGACGAATTACAATACTTGTCAACATTTGATTTCCACTTTCCTTTGACGTGCAAATAGACCGCTTTGCTTTCAAAACACAAATAAAAATTGGAGTTATTAATTGCTTCAATACAAAAAAAGATATAACATATATCGTTAAACATATCGATAGCAGCCATCGCAAATGTTTAAGTGTAAATATTATAGTTTCTACCAAAAAAAATTAAGATTCGATAACATCCTATAACTCTTTATTAATTATTTTTTGTGTATCGGTTTATTAGGGCAAGTATTTGTTCTTCGCATAAACCTACATTAGATTTGTTCCAATTTGTTAATTAAATTGTTACACACATCTGTGATGTTTCCATCGGCAAGATTTTTTTTGTTTGCCCATAAAACTTGAATGAATGAATGAAAACGTGTTTATTAAACTTTTTAAAAAAATACACAGAATAAAATATATATATATATATATATCTACAAGGAACAACAC